CCCCCCCTCCCTTCTGTACGCATGGTGTACGCCATGGCATCAACCCCCTCCCTTCTGTATGCATGGTGTACGCCATGGCATCAACCTCCTCCCTTCTGTATGCATGGTGTACGCCATGGCATCAACCCCCTCCCTTCTGTATGCATGGTGTACGCCATGGCATCACCTCCTCCCTTCTGTATGCATGGTGTACGCCATGGCATCAACCTCCTCCCTTCTGTATGCATGGTGTACGCCATGGCATCAACCCCCTCTCTTCTGTATGCATGGTGTACGCCATGGCATCACCTCCTCCCTTCTGTATGCATGGTGTACGCCATGGCATCACCCCCTCCCTTCTGTATGCATGGTGTACGCCATGGCATCAACCCCCTCCCTTCTGTATGCATGGTGTACGCCATGGCATCAACCTCCTCCCTTCTGTATGCATGGTGTACGCCAAGGCATCAACCCCCTTCCCCTTCGCGTACCTACGTACTTTATGGATGACTCCTAATAAGATATCATAAGTGTCTAAATGTGTCGGCAGAAAAATCGGTGAGAGTAAAACACGGAAATCATGGGTTCTCGTATGTATTATTTTTTATCTTATTGTATTGAAATGATGGCTTAAGCTTTTTAAGTATTTGGTGGCTCAAAGCATATGGCGGGATACGGTCTTTAGCTATTACGCATTTTCCCTCATAATCCCTGAGTTTCCTATACACAAAAATTAATAAATTAATCTAAAACACTAAATCACTAAACACTAAATCCATGCACACTCTAGATACCTCCACAATCTTGTCAACAGGAAAAAAAAGATACGTCCCGCACAAGGGGGAACTGAAAGTGAAAGCCAGATACCCACGAGTTCATTGTGTGGGGAGTTTACGACATATTTCCCACAAGAGGGCGCCAGAGTTCACGTATTTGATCAAACTGCATGTAGTTTTCGAAGCACAGATTGGAGCCTGTGACGGCCCAGAAAGTAAGTTAACAATTATCACATTTTCATCGTAATGAACCCGAATCGATAATTTGGTAGGAAACAGTATATTCCTTAGGTGCCATCAAATGTATTGTCTTCTTCAACTTAAGTTTAGATGCTCTGCAACTGGCCCATGTTTATGTGTACAAATTCGTGGGTTTGCTTGCGCTGTGTTCGTACACACAACGCGGGGCAGTGACAGTACGCTGCACATTCCTAGCATACCGTACGCAAACATCATCAAATCCGGCCAGCCGCAGTCTGCCGTTTTTATTACATGTAATGGAAACCGGTCATTTCCTCCGTACGCCTACATATTGTGCAAATCTGGTTATTTTGTGCATGTTGTAGGCCGGGAAGAGTTCCATAAGCATAATACATGGACGCCATAAATTATTCCCTACAACATTGACCTACATGTAGTATTAGCTAGCCCTCTGAAAGGAAAAACATGTCCAGAAATGTTCAGTTTAAGAGGAAAAAATGCAGCTGTTTACTCAGAAAACATTTAAAAAATTTTTAGTCCAGTCCCATAAGGTTTGCGCACAGGGTGTCAAGTGGCATCCATATACATGTGTGAAACTCTTTCCTCATGTTCCTGTAGGCCTGTTACATCCTCTTTCCGCTTGAATCTGAGGTTTTGGCTAGTTTATATTCCCAGAATAGGTTTTCAGTTCCAATCTTTGGAAGAATTTATTTTCACAACTCACAGTCTTTCATCATAGAAATTCACAAGGAAAAGTCACTACTGTTTATGCCGAGGAGCTTTTACTTTTTAGAGGGTTGGACTGCCTATGCGTGCATAAGTTCCTAAATCTAAGCTGCTGGCAGTGCATTCTTTGCAGTCTCGGTTGGCGATTGAACACTACACAAGAAATATTTATATAGCCAGTTAAAATTGGGTTTTCTTACCCAAAAAAGGTGCTGGGGGTGTCTTTATCTGCAAATTCTTCAACCCTGCAATTGCGCTTTGACCAACCAAGCACAATGCATGAATACATCAACAGCGGAAATGTAAATCTCTTCCACATTCCGTGTTATTTCCATCCTATCATCACCATCTTCAGTGACAACCCCATATCTTCACCTCCACCCACCCTGTCCCTGATGTCAACCTCTTCCCATTTAATTACCTGAATTCTCTAACTTGGGGAATCCTGTAAACTGAGCCCGTCTTCAGAACGAGGAAGAGAAACAAAAAAAATGGATCCACCGCTACTTTTTGTTCAGATTCATGCAGTTGGTCGTAAACAATGAATGAAAATTTGGAACTTCATTACATAAGAAAAGAGCCCCACTAACCTTTCATGCTTCACCAAGTCCATAAATTCTGGTGATATCACGTGATACATTAAAATGACATGACAGCAGAGGGCAAATTGTATGAACTTGCTGAACTTTTTTGGATCTCATGAAACAAACTCAAGTAAAATTGATATCTTATAAATTTGCCATAAATATGGCTCCTTGTTTATTTATACATTAAACTAATACCTATATGTACATGCAGTATAGAAGTTTACTCACAGGAACGTTATGAAGTATTATTTAAATAGGAAAAGCTCTCGTTTGTTTCACTCAGTTTTTTAGAACTTCCTACAGCATCTTAAGTCGCCTTGAACCTCAACAGTTCTCAGTATCTATTCTTACATGTACATGTACCTTATAGCTCTCCCTTTTTTGAAGTAACTTTTTGGTGGTATAATGTGGTATGAATTCTTGTATGAGAGGAATCCTAAAGGTAAGGGCATCCCAAGCTTTTATCTCTGTGCATGTACATGTAAAAACCATGGTTCTTCATCATTCTGTTTACAGTTGACAATGTCGTTAGGTGGAGTAGCCATTTGCACTCGTTGCAATGATGGTTTCCGTCAGGATGAGAAGATTGTTAACTCCAGTGGGGAGATGTGGCATGAGGAATGCTTCGTGTAAGTTCAGTTTTGTACATGATCTGTACTTACATGTACATGTATTTTGAAGCTTACACTGCATTAAAACCTCACCTTACTGAGGTAAAAATAAGAACAAAGAAGTCTTATTCACATCAGTAATCAAGGAAATGAGACATGCATTATAGTGCAAAGCATGAGCACTCGACACAAGCATTTTACACAAACTATTCCAACTGTGACACTAAGAAACATCCAATTCTGCAGTAATGTCAAAACAATACAACTACATATTTATTTTCAGTGTAAGCTTTAAACCAGCAAAATATGTTCACAGTTTTTGTACAGGACAGAAAAACCTGCACCATGTCATGCATGCATCCACTGCCTATAAACAAATTTAAACATTTTATGTATATTTTCGTCATGAATAAATGAATTTGAAATTACATGTATGTATAGAAATGGTGAAACAATATTAACATGTCCACCCTTACAATTTATATGATTTCTAGAAGCTTGCATAGTGGGAAAATGTACAGAAGTTTGCATGATTTTCCAGCACACAAACTTGTACAGCAATTTTATCCATTTTCAAGTGTTTTGAAGTCAGCAGTAAATCCTGTTTTTGTCTTTGTACAGATGTGCGCAGTGTTTCCGGCCCTTTCCAGAGGGGACATTTTTTGAGGTACTTTTAAAGAGGTTTTGTTGAGATAATGGTTTTGTGGTAATGAAATCTCGTAATTCAAATTTTTTTGTCCTCCATATGTAAATGCTTGAAATTCAAAAGTTCAATCCATGTATTAACCATTATTTTACACATTCTTGTCCCTGAAACTGAGAAAGAGTATCAAGAAAATAAGGTAACTTCCTTGTTCATTAGGCTACATGTACAAGTATACATGTATACATGTACATTTATGTTATGAACAGTTTAGTAGACAATATGATTAATATAATGATGTTGATTTTGTTGTTATATTTCAGTTTGAGGGCAGGAGATATTGTGAGCATGACTTCCAGGTTTTGTTTGCCCCTTGCTGTGGGAAATGTGGTAAGCATCCCAAAGACTCAGATTGTCTTTTTTTGATGAGGCAGCTGACCCATGTCTGACTAGTGGATCACAGAAACATGGATTGCATGTCCACACTGCCTAGGATATATTGCCCAGTTTATGAAAAGCAGTGATGTAGCCAAGGCATGACACTCTGGCTGCTGATTTCACACAACTTTTCGCAAAGGCGTAATGTCATTTATGCCGCGGTTCTTTGTCTATCTTAGCAATAAATTAAGAGCGATTCCAATTGCGCAACAAATTATGGTGTAACTTACGCAATCAATTTAGATGGCAATTTAGGTGGTGTACATGTAGGTTCTGGATAGTTAAAGTTCATCATAGCTGAGCTTAGAAAACGTAAAGCTTTGTTTGAGAAGGTAATGAAAAACTACTTTGGTTGTGAGAAAACCTTGAGACTTTCTGACCAGTTCCAGTGAAAACAAAAAACTTTTCAAAATGTTAAGCGAAGGTAATTCAGTGACTGTTTGATGGCTGCTGTGATATTGCAAAGGAATGGCCGTTGGAAAAGCTGTTTAGCTACTTTTTGTAAAATTGAATGTACATGTATTTAGCACAGCTGCAGCAAAAAATTGTGGTCCAAGGCTTATGCAGGATTCAAAGTCATACTACATTTTGTAAAATTGGCTGCAGAAGGGAGTATTTAGGTATTTAATTGAAGATATGTCTCGTCACAAAAGTCCAGGGTATAGAGCACTCTCACTTGTCCACATGATCTGAGGTACATTGTACATGTACATAACATGTCACAGCCATGAGCTGCAGTGCCACAAAACAGTAATCACAATGTACATGTAGGCAGGCCAAAAGCTTTTGTTACATGCAAGTATGAGAAAACGTGGACCTACTGCTGGATGTGTATGACAACAACTGCACCTGTGACCATTATGCCATTTGATGAAGAAGAAGTCATCGTTAAATTACATGAAAATAAGTCTCATTGTCAAACGTATGATGTGGGATTGCTACATGTAGTTAAACACTTTCCTAATGCAGTGATGGCTGATTTGGGGGAAAGAGTGTCGCGTAGTACCTTTACATACTGTATTTTGCTGGAACGCTATCACAGCAGGCCTTGAAACCCAAGGATATTGCCAGGGTAGCTACGTGTTGCATTGAAAACTACATGTATCTGGTTCGTAAGTGACTTCGTCACAAAGGCGGACGCGCCACGATTCGCAGGCTCCCATTGGACAATCCCTTAAGTTGCATGTTAACTTCCGGTTCCACGTAAATGGCAATCAATGCATGTAACTCTATGTGCAGTGCACGTGTGCAGTGGGCATGGTTTAAACTGAAGTGACGTCACACTTACGAACCGAATAGACAAATCTAGTGATCATGATAATGCTATCACTTGTCATTTGCAGTGACCTTTAGAGTAAATATTGTGATGGCTGTTAAACAGAGGTACTGTTTTTGACAGTATGCCCAACACAATGCTTTCCACCATTAAAGGGGGCCATCGGGAATATCTACATGTAATTAAACATTGCTGAAAACATATAAACCAGTCATAGAAAGTAAAAAAAAATAGCTCAGATGTGGCCCTCCAAGATAATTAGCTTCAGTAGGGATGCCAAGGATAAGGCATACACATCGGTTGGAGACTCTAAGTAACCTGGGTATGTAAAGCTAGTGGTAAGTGCCTGATGTAAATTATGTTAGTCACTAGAAGTGAATTTAATTACTTTCGTTGCATTTATCTGTGGTGTCATCAAAGCTTTAGGTGGGCACGTGCAAGGTGTGGTAATCAACTGTCATAGGTAACCCAAAGTACCAAGATCAGATCAAGAGGTGAAGTATTAAGAATGGGGACAACTTTCCTTCACCATGTTCAAGCTGCCATGGTTATGCAGTATTATGGGATACTTCCCCAAGTACATGTAATTGGTGGGTCAGTTAATACTGGGGCCAGATAATAAGTTGTGTGAGTGTTTATTTGAACCTAGTTGTGCTTTTACAAGTTTGCATGGGCAACATTATCAAACGTGAGCACTGCTTTTTTCTAACAAGCATTCTTTTCTCTGACATTGATGAATCCAGGTGAATTTGTGATTGGTCGAGTGATCAAGGCAATGAACAATAACTGGCATGCTGAATGCTTCCGCTGTGAATTATGCAATGCTGTGTTGGCAGATACAGGGTTCGTCAAGAACAGAGGAAGGTGGGAATTCTGGACAAATCATAACAAATATGCACTTGGTTACCAAATATCTGATGGGGGTTTTCACCTTTTATCCTCTCCCTAATTAAAGTCTTTGTTGAAAGCCTATCTTAAGAAGCATCATATCTGCAGAGTAGGAACTGTCTTGAATACTCTCTAATCAACTCAATTTGCTAAACATAGAGTTGGCAGCAAGGTTTGAGGATTTATTGTATTTGACCAAAGTGATTATGGCATGACTTTATTAAACCTGACCCATTGTGTACAGTGGTGAAATCAGTAGATTTGAAAATGAGATAATTTCTTGTAACCTTTGGGTTCCTGTTTATTTTCTTACAGAGCTCTCTGCCGACCCTGTCATCTGAAGGAAAAGGCAGCAGGTTAGCAGTTTCTTGAAGGTTATCTAGATGTGGCAGACAGGATGAGCTCTAAATAGTTCTGAAAATGTTTATAAATGTTGCAGTGGTGTTGTCTCGTACTTTTTGAGTGCAAAGTTCTCTACCAAATATTGAACTGATTGGAAAGGAACAAAGCTAGGGCATTGGACAGTAAATGCACAAAGGTAAGATTACAAAAGAAAATTATAAATTCAGAACATCAATGATTAATAAAAATCAATGTGTTTTGACAAACGTACTCAACTTTTCACGCACTTCCTTCCAACTTTTTTTTTTTACAAAACTGAGGTGTCTGAAGTCTTAATCGTTTTTTTAATCTTACACCTACTGTTGTGCATCTACCATGCAGTGTCCATATTCCCAACTGGAATGTTTGGCAGAGAGCTTGGTTAAAAGGACTCCATAGCCAAACTAGAATGTTGTGTACGTACAGTTGGACATTGTTATGTACATAAAGGTTGGAAGTTTCTTTTTCAGCAAAGACGCAATACATGTACTTACCAATGATAGGCCCATTCAGCTTGACACATTATGAAGTATAATTTAAACTAACAACTATCACTGGATCATAATATTCAGGCAATTGTACAAGCAAGTGCATCAAATGGAATCTTAATGTTGAGTCTAGGAGCTAGACAAGTGCGACACACATACATATAAAAGATATAATTAAAAGGAGTACTCCATTGCAAATTACTGGAAATTTACTTGTAGTCATTGTCTGTCTCATCCAGGCAGTGGCAAGTACATCTGCTTCAGATGCCAGTGAGTACTTTCTCAGTCTTCCAATTTGTCCTGGTTTTGTTTTCTTTTAAATTAGTTTCACATTGTATTCCTTCAAATACATGTACATGCAAATACAATTGGATTGAGGCATGTCACCACAGCTGGCTGACTGGTAATCCATCTCATGCAGTTAATAACGAGCATGTTTCCCAGAAGGTAGCAATGCAGGGTTGGTGGCTCCATGTGTTGTGGGGGAACTGAATCTATCTAGTAGCTTACATAAAATAGTTGACTCTAATCTAGTGTACATGTGTTGTACATGTTGATTTTTTCCTGCACCGGCACTGCAGTCTTAAAAGTCCACATCTGAGATGTTCCATGTTTAAATTTTATAAGGAACTTTTGATGCAACACATCAAGCAGAGCAAGGACAGGCAGATGCACAAGGCCTGAAACACAGGGATGTATTTTACTTGGGAATGAACATATAGTCAATGTAACTTGGTACTCTGCTTCTATCTATACTGTATGTATGAAAAACTATTGAACATTACATTTGGATAGTTAAGCTTTCTCTAAAGAGGGTAGTTTGTTAATTATTTAAACTTGTTTGTGTTTTCCAGTGGCCTGATTCAGGAGGATGAACATTTAAAATGGAAGATGGAACATTATCATCCCTACCACTTCAATTGCTGCAAGTGTGGGTAAGTGGAAGGTGTGGGAAAGTGGAAGGTGTGGGAAAGTGGAAGGTGTGGGTAAGTGGAAGGTGTGGGTAAGTGGAAGGTGTGGGTAAGTGGAAGGTGTGGGTAAGTGGAAGGTGTGGGTAAGTGGAAGATGTGGGTAAGTGGAAGGTGTGGAGAAGTGGAAGGTGTGGCTAAGTGGAAGGTGTGGGAAAGTGGAAGGTGTGGTCAAGTGGAAGGTGTAGGTAAGTGGAAGGTGTGGGTAAGTGAAAGGTGTGGGTATTAAAGGTGTGGTCAAGTGGAAGGTGTGGGTAAGTGGAAGGTGTGGGTGAGTGTAAGGTGTGGATATGTGGAAGGTGTGGATAAGTGGAAGGTGTGGTCAAGTGGAAGGTGTAGGTAAGTGGAAGGTGTGGGTATTAAAGGTGTGGTCAAGTGGAAGGTGTGGGTAAGTGGAAGGTGTGGTCGAGTGGAAGGGGAGGGGCAGTGAGTCAACAGTAATAATGTGCCTGCCGTAAGTGTTCCTCCATGTACATGTAGTCTAGATGATCGTTAGAGCTTGACAAGCGATCATACTCTCCTTCTATACCCAGGGAAGAATTGACCGCCAGTGCTCGTGAGTTGAGAGGGGAGCTTTACTGCCTACCATGCCATGACAAGCAGGGTATCCCAATCTGCAGTGCCTGTCATCGCCCCATAGAGGAACGCATTGTGACAGCCATGGGCAAACACTGGCATGTTGAGGTAAATGAGAGTTTGAAGATTTGACCTGACTTTAGCTGATTTACCTCATCCCAACCAAACTTAACCTGACTTAGCTTGACCTGATGGCTCATTTTGACTCCAGATGGCCCAGTCTGCTGTGAAAGTTTTAAACTTGTTACATTTGTAATGATTATTACGGTGTCCTCTGTGACTTAGTTGGCAGAGAATAATCATGGAGGGCTGAAGAATTACCCACTATCAAATCTGCCTTAATACTCGTTAAGTAAATTTTGACGAATTCATGTTAATTTTTCAGCACTTTGTATGTGCTCGTTGTGAGAAGCCATTTCTTGGTCACAAACACTATGAGCGTAATGGCAAGGCCTACTGTGAGATACATTACAACCAGGTAAGTGGGACAGTTCTACCTAATTTCAAATGCAAAGATCAAGAGCGAGTTTTTAACCATGCAGTGATCTCCCTTGGGTTGACATACCACTTGTTTGTATGCACCAGGCCGGTAGTATCTAAATTACCCCCTCCCCAAAAAACTGCAAAAATTATGTATACTAGCATCAATGTTGGGAAACTGTGCCAGTGGTGTTAGATTGCCTACTCATCCACACTACTGACCACAAATGAGGGGGAATACTTGTTTACGGAGTGAATTGATTCTCTCACGCCTGTGCACAAGTATATCCTCTCTCATACCCTTGTGTCATTCTCCCACAAGGAAACATGGCTTGTGCACATTCTGGTGAAACTCTGTTTCATTCCGCCAACCATATGCATTTGGAAATATGTGCATTGTAAAAATGCATACTGCATGTGTGGCTCTTACAAATACAAGAAATGGTCT